TCTTTTGCCTCCTTGGCTAGGTTTATTCCTAGGTATCTAAGACCTTTGTTCTTATCTGACAGCATTTTCTCATACAGATGGCCTTTGCTCATTAAGTCTCTTTCCTACTATGCAACCTAGTCTCCCTGTCTTCTGCTTTCCACATCCTTCTCCTATAAACCAGAGGTGAAGGGAAATCTCAGGTTTCCAGACTAAGTATTTTGTTGATGGTAACTCTGTTCTTCCAGTTGCTCAAACCAAAAACCTGGACCTTCCTCTCTTCATTCTCACATTGGACCTGTCAGCAGCTTCTCTACCTTTAAAACATACCCAAATCGGACTACTACTTACATGTAAGCTGCACCGACCTGGTCCAAGCCACCAGCTTTCTCATTGAGATGATCACAGCTGTGTCTGGTCTCCCTGCTCCAGCCCTTGCCCATGTAAGGGTCTCTTTCAACAGGGCAGCTGGAGTCATCCTTTGAAAACATAAGGCGGACCATGCCACTTGTCTGCTCAGTGTCCTCTAGTGATTTTCCATCTTCCTCAGAGTACAAGCCCAGTCCTTGCATTGATGTCTTGGCTCCACTCAGGGAGCCTTCCCCTTCTTTCCTAACCTCTGATCTTGTTCTCCTAGGACTCTGTCCCTTGTTCACTCTGCTCCAGCCCCAGAAGCCCAGCCGTCTCTCAGAGATGCCAGTCACGCCCCCCCTCCCCTTGCTGTTCCCTCTGCTTGAAGCACCCTTAAGATAATAGGTCTCTTTTTGCAGGCTGTTAAGCAAATGTCCCCTTCTTGGTGAGGCCTGTCTCAGCCACATTATGTAAGATTTCAGTCCCTCTCCCCAGAACTCCCTATGTATGCCCCTTCCCTCATTTGTGGATCTAAGGAGGAAAGATAGAGCACTAGCCCAGTGAAGCAGGAGCTCCTGGGGGAGACATCATCACTGTCACTAATCCAGGGCCTCCACAGGCCAGGCAGTTGCCCACATATGGGACAGGAGGGGCTGGTGATGACTGGGGGAAAATGGACCATATTGAGCTCCATCTGAAAGCTTTAAAATTCCAATTTTAAAAAACATCTGTGCAGTCCACATGAAATGTGCCTTGCGGATGTTTTAAGGCATATAAGCTACTAGCCTATAAATGCTGCTGTGATAAATTCAGCTCGATTCCTGATACGCTAAAGTCACCCAAGTGTTCCAGTACTTTGATCTTCACAACAGCAGTATCCACTTGTTTTTCTGGAAAGGAGACAGGCAGGGCAATAAATGCTTGCTTTCCTTTCATAGTTTTTTCCAACCACTAGCATTAGATGTGCTGGAATTTCGTAATACTTTCTCCCTCATCTCTATGCTCAAATTTTAAGGTAGCAAGGATAGAGTAGAAAGCAGACCAGACAAAGGTGGGACAACCCAGCCCTGCCACTTATGTCACACTTTACTTATGTGACTTAAAGTTATTAAGTAACTTTAACTAAAAGTTATTCTTGGAGCTCGGTTTGCTTAAGTACAACACAGGAGTAACACCTACCTCATAAGGCTAGGGTGAGGGTTAAATGAAATTATAGATGCATAAGTGCTGTCTGTATCAAAAAAGCTACAGAAATTAGATGCTACTATCTTACCAAAGAACATTAGACTACATTGATCTGTTACCAAGCAATATTTACATCTATTAATCTGTTGTTGTTACCTCTGTTGATCTGTTGTCAAGCAGTATCAGTTTATTTCACTTCATTTGTATGTAAGATGCCTCCTGATTGTATTCACAAAGCTCTATGGCTGAAAACTTTTTTTAGAAGTGATAAGACAAGGGTTTAGGAAAAGGAATTAGCTTTCAAACTTATATTGATTATCCAACCCAATTAAAATTATATTCTAGCTGAAAATTCTTAACATATAGGAAACAAATGTTAACCATTATGTTTTAGACAGTAATATAACTATTCTTTTCTACCATTATTGTCCTTATTCAACTTGAAGAAATACTTTATGAACTGAGATAGCAAGAATCAAAAGATGCTGATGGAGCACTATTTACAGTAGCCAAGACATGGAAGCAACCTAAATGGCTGACAGATGACTGTATAAAGAAGTTGTGGTATATTTATACAATAGAATAGTACTCAGCCATAAAAAAGAATAAAACAATGCCATTTGAAGCAACATGGATGGACCTGGAAATTGTCCAAGTGAAGTAAAACAGAAAGTGAAAGAAAAATACTATATGATATCACTTATATGGGGAATCTAAAAAATGAGACAAGTGAACCTATTTACAAAGCAGAGATAGACTTACGTAGAAAAGAAACGTGTGGTTACCAGGGAAGAAAGGGAAGGTGGCAGGATAGCTTGGGAGTTTGGAA